CCTGCCCTCTGACTGTCACCATATTGTCCTCAGTATTTGTGAGTCTGTCTTTGATTAGTTTGTTCTTTTTGTTCCTTAGATTCCACATATAAGTGAAATCATATGGTATTTGTCTTTCTCTGTCTGACTTATTCCACTCAGCATAGCAACCTCTAGGTCCATCTATGTTGTTGCAAATGGTAGGATTTCGCACTTTTTTTTTTTATAGCTGACTAATATTCCATTGTATATATGTACCATAACTTCTTTATCCAATTGTCTGTTGATGGTCATTTATGTTACTTCCATGTCTTAGCTGTCATAAATAGTGCTGCTGTGAACATAGGGATGTGTAGATCTTTACAAATGAGTATTTTGGTTTTCTTTGGATAAATACCCAGAGAGCAATTGCTGGGTAAAAAGATAGATTCATTTCTAATTTTTTGAGGAACCTCCAGACTTTTTTCCACAGTGGCTGTACCAATTTGCAATCCCACCCACAGTGTATGAAGGTTCCATTCTCTCCACATCCTCACAAACACTTGTTTTTTGATTTATTGATGATAGCCTTTCTGACAGGTACAAGGTAATATCTCATTGTGGTTTTAATTTGCATTTTCCTGATGACTAGTGACCTTGAGCATCTTTTCATATGTCTATTGGCCATCTTTTTTTCTTCTTTGGAGAAATATCTGTTCAAGTTTTCTGCCCATTTTTATTTACATTGTTTTTTTGTTTTTTGTTTTTTTGTTTTTTGTCATGGAGTCGGATGAGGTTTTTTTGTTTGTTTTGTTTTTTTATCTATTTTTGGATACTTACCCCTTATCAGATGTATCATCAGTAAATATCTTCTCACATTCAGTAGGTTGTCTTTTCCTTTTGTTGATGGTTTCTTTTGCAGTGCAAAACCTTTTTAGTTTGACATAGTCCCACTTGTTTATTTTTTCTTTTGTTTCCCTTGCACATAAGGAGATATGTCAAAAAAGAAATTACTAGTAGCAATATCAGAGAGAGTACTGCTTATGTTTTCTTACATTTTATAGTTTTGGGTCTTACATTTAAGTCTTTATTCCATTTTGAGTCTATTCTTGTATCTGGTGTACGAAGGTGGTCCAGTTTCATTTTTGGAGGGGCAGGGTGTGTATCTGTCCAATTGTCTCAACACTATTTATTGAAGAGACTGTCTTTACTCCATTGTATATTCTTGCCTCCTTTGTCATATATTAAATGAGTGTACAGATGTGGATTTATTTCTGGGTTCTCTATTCTGTTCCATTGATCAATGTATCTATTTTTATGCCAGTATTATGCTGTTTTGTTTATGGTAGACTTGTAGTATAGTTTGATATCACGTAGTGCGATACCTCCAACTGTGTTCTTCTTTCTCAAGATTGATGGGGCTATTTGGGATCTTTTATGGTTCCATATAAATTTTAGGATTATTTGTTCTAGTTCTCCGAAAAATGCCATTGGTATTTTTATAGGGATTGCTTTGAATCTATAGATTGCTTTGGGTAGTATGGCCATTTTAACAATGTCGATTCTTCCTACCCATGGGCATAGTATATGTTTCCATTTATTTGTATCTTCTTCAATTTCTTTCTTCAATGACACAATTTTCTGAGAACAGGTATTTTACCTCCTTGGTTAATTTGATTCCTATATATTTTATTGTTTTTGATGCATGTGTAAATGAGATTGTTTTCTTAATTTCTCTTTCTGACAGTTAATCATTGGTGTATAGAAATGCAAGACTCCTGAATATTAATTTTGTATTCTGCTACTTTACTGAATTCATCAATCAATTCTAACAGATTATATTTTGTGTGTGTGGAATCTTTAGAGTTCTCTCTATATAGTATCATGTCATCTGCAAATAATGACAGTTCTTACTTTTTCCTTCCCAGTCTGGATGCTTTTTATTTCTCTCTCTTGTCTGACTGCTGTAGCTAGAATTTCCAATACATCAGTGAACGGAAGTGGTGAAAGTGAGCATCCTTGTCTTGTTCCTGATCTTAAGAAACATGCTTTTAGCCTTCCCCCATTGAGTGTGATGTTAGCTGTAGATTTGTCCTATATGGCCTTTATTATGATGGGATATGTTCTTTCTATTCCCACTTTGCTGAGTTTTTATCAGAAATGATGATGGATTTTGTTGGACACTTTTTCTTCATCTATTGATATGATCATTTAATTTTTACCTTTCAATTTGTTAACGCCATGCATTACATTAATTGACTTGCAGGTATTGTACCCATCTTGCATCTCAGGAATAAATCGAACTCGATCATGGTGTATGATATTTTCACGTATTGCTAAATTTGGTTTGCTGATATTTTGTTGAGGATTTTTGCATCAATATTCACAAGGGATATTGGCCTGTAGTTTTCTTTTTTTGTAATGTCTTTGTCTGATTTTGGAATCAGGGTAATGGTGGCCTCATAGAAAGAGTTAGGAAATCTTCCCTCCTTTTGAAGTTTTTGGACAAGTTTGAGAATAATATGTATTAATTCTTTGAATGTTTGTTGAAATTTGCATATAAGCCATCTAGTCCAAGACTTTTGTTTTGGGGGAGTTTTTTGATTACCAATTCAATTTCCTTGGTAGTAATCAGTTGGTTCAGAGTTTTTGTTTCTTCTTGACTCAGTCTTGGGAGAGTGTATGTTTCTAGGAATGTATCCATTTCTTCCAGATTGTCCAATTTGTTAGCATGTACTTGCTCGTAGTATTTCGTTATGATCCTTTTTATTTCTGTGGAGTCCGTGGTTACTACTCCTCTCAGAAAGTCCTTCTTGATGCCTCCACATTCCACTAATCATTGCTTCCACACTTGCAAACTCATTTTATAAAGGAGCTCCCCTTTTTACTGATAACACATGTAGCTTTGCATGCTGAATATTTCTTCTACAAGATTTTTAGTTTCTGAAGGACCAGGCCTGGGCATCTATATCATTCCGATTCTCCTGCCTCGATCAGCACAGCTCCAGGTCGCCCTCACCAGATCCTGGAAGGTGTCTTGGACAGATGCAGAGTTATGTGGCCCTGAGCTCCTCTCTCTCCACGTACTCTTACAGACACCCTGTGTGGAGTGAGGGAGAAGAGAAGGCAGCAGGTTCAGGCCATGGTGACAGGTAACAGGAATCCACATTGCAATAGTTTCAAGTTCTCTACACTAATTATTAGACTTTTAAAGTAGCATAAAATTTAAATTAGAAGCCCAAATGCTTGCTTATTTATCAAATCTGGACAATAAACAAAATAATTAAATGTCAAAAACAGACTAAACTCAGAACTTCTTCCCATGAATAGTATTTGTGGAGACAAAGCATTTTTTGGAGAAGTGGATCAGCTAATGTAGAGGTTCGGGGAATTATCATGAGGGACTGGAAGGATAAATGGACACAAGAAACTCTTTGATAAAGATGAACTGGAACTTTAAGCAAACATAATTAGTTGGGAAGGTATTGGAGGACCTGGAACTTACGGAAGTTCTAGTGCTCTACATAATCAGGAGAATCCTAGATGATAGCAAAGCTCTACAGTTCTAACTTCCCCTTCCATTAACTTCCTTTTCCCTTATATAAATACCCCTCCATCCTGGCATGTAAGTCAGAGTGTGCACGTGGCTTGCTATGGCTGCATGCTCTGGGTTGCAATCTTCTCTTTTTCCAGAATAAATCCTTTTTGGTGATGCAACACCTAGTTGATATTATTTTTCAGTTGACATTCTCAAATGTTAGTATTATCATGAAAAAGCCTTTTATGGAAAGGAAAGAGAATGGCATCAAATTTCTTTCCCCCCCGTTAAACCATAGGCCCTTTGTAACAGAGCGAAATGCTAATTATGCTTGAGTTAAATGCTAGAGTGATTCTGCTTGAGGCTTGAGTATTTTGCAAAAACAGCCCCTTGTTAGAAGTGGCCTCTTTTGAAGAGGTGGGAAGTGTGTTCAGAACAATGACTGTCTATCAAAGATTTACAGGAAACTCCAGACCAACTGAAATCAGTGGTTGTCAAAGGACCAACTGGGAACAAAGAGATTTGGAGATGTCCACCTCTTCTTTGGATCTGACCTCTTGCTTCACCCCTCCTCCCTTTCTGTGACATAAAAGACACTTGAAATTGAGGCACTCATAAGACAGATTTGAGGAACTTTTGAGAGCTCCTATCTTCTCAGTTGAGGCCTTGGGTCGACAATTTTTTGATCAATAAACCTTTCCTTATTTCAAACTCTGATCTATTGAATATTGGCCTTTTGAAGAGCTAGGCACGCAAACAGTGAATTGGTTACACTTTCTATGTGCCATACTTTTCTGTAGACAGGGAAAAACTCGAGAGAGAGTGAGAGGAGAAATATGGAAAGGAAAAAATGGAGAGCACCTGGGAGCTTGAAAGGAGAGATGGGCAATACTTCCAACTGGACAAAGAGTCACGCAGAGTGAAGCAGTTCTGTGCTTCAGTTTCCTTTCTTTTCCTCCAAGTCTTGGCATTATCTTGATTTTTGTCTCTAGATTCTGCTTGTAGCATCTTTATTGCAAAGAGGCAAGGCCATTTTTAACATCTTCATAGCCCCTACCATACTTACTATTGGAAGGAAAACACATTAGAGTGCATCTGTGTCCCAAATTAAATATAATTTTTTGGTAAATATTATTGACAGGATAATATGTTGAACTATACAGGATTGCCATTTTTAAAGACCAAAAGATGTTAAGTACTAGCAATTTAATAATTTTGCTTTTGAAATTATTTGGCTGCAAGTGCTGTATTTAATTTATAATTAGCTATGATTTCTCATCAGCCATTACTTGTATACTGATAATTTACATAAAATGAGAAATTTTAACCTACAGATTGTTATTAGAGTTAATGACACTTAAAATGTTTATGAATACTAATGTGAATGATGAATGAAACTGACATAATGTGACATCTGTAAACTGTCCATTAATGTTTTCTAACTAAAACCTCCTAATTGTTATTTTTATTTTGGAGCTGTTGCAGGTCAGCTTACCAGGTAGCAGTCTCTGAGGGAAGCACATATATTAAAATCGAAACAATGCAATGAAGATTAGCATGGCCCCTGTGCAAGAGTGACACAGAGACTTGTGAAGTGTCCCATATTTTTTCAGAGATGATGAAAAAAGTTCTGGAGAATGAATAGTGGTGAATGATTGTAAGACAATGCAAATGCACTTATTGCTACTGAACTATACACTTAACAATAGCTAAATGGTAAATTTTATGTTATAATTATTTTACCACAATTTATAAAAAAACAAGCAAATATGGCCCTAGGGTGGATGTTTCACTAAAGATGTCATAAAGAAAGATCAGAAGCTATGAAATAAAACTCATACAATTAAATGAATGAAATCAATCATAGTCAAAGGAAAAACAAGTCTAAAAACCAAAATGTAATTCTTCAGTGATTGGACATTCCAAGGTGTAAGTACAGAGTGGAAAGAGCCAAGGTGTCTATCACCTGAGTTCAAAGCCTAACTCTCCCACTTAACTACTGTGTGAACTTGGACATGATACCTAACCTCTCTCAACCTGTTTTTTTATTGATAAAATCAAAACAATGACATTAGACTCACAGATCTATTAGAACTAAACAAAATATTATAGGCAAGGCATTTAGCAGAGTTATTGGCTCCTGGTAGGTATTCACTAAATGTGTTTCCTTTCCCTTCTGCAAGTGAAAATTAGTAAATGCACTATGTTGTGGGACATAGAAACTAACTTTAAAGACAGTAAGAAAATAAAAAAAATATTGAGATAATATTTTGGTAGTAGTTCCTGGCAGAGGCAGACTCGGTGCATCAAGAACACTCTAAATTGCTGAAAAATACTTAAAAGCTTGTTATTAGAGTACTGGCCTACCTGTTATAACTAAGAAACCCAATACAGTGGCTTATACAAGATGGAAACTTATTTTTCTCTATGTAACAGCCCAGAGGTAAGCTGTCTAAAACTGGCAAGGCAGTTCTGTCATTATCAATAAACAATTTCCATCTTTGGGTCCAAAGTAGTTGCTTTAGATCCTGACATCATCTAGATAGCGGGAAGGGGGAAAAGCCCAGGAGTGGCATCTACATTTAAGGGCATGACTCAGAAATGGCATGCCTTATTTTCTTTTCCACACCCCATGGACCAAATCCATGCTGTAAAGAATGCTGGGAGAAGTTAATTATTAAAGAAGGGGAAATTGGATGTTGCCGTACACCTAGCCATCTCTATCACACAACCCACATTTTCTCCAGTTCACCACCACAAGTTTTCAAAAGAAGCAAAACCGACACATCTCTCAAAATGGAAGCACAATTTCTTGCTTATTAATTTATTTGATAAATATTTACAGACTACTTGCTATGTGGTAAGCACTATTCAAAACATTGCAAATACAGCAGACTGCAAAAAAAGATGAGGTTCCTGATCTCATGAAGGTATATTCAATAAAGGGAGGAAGTAAACAAAAATTGGAAAAAACATTAGATACCAGTAAGTACAAAATAAAAATTAAAGTGATGTCGGAACCAGTGACTAAGTGACTACTTAGATTGGGTGGTTAGGGATGCCTTTGCTGAGGAAATGATGTGTAAGCTGAACCTTTGAAGAGCAGGAAGCAAAAAATGCCAGAAATGGGAAATTGCAACTGCAATGCTCCTGATGGAGGAAAGACTTTGGAGGGTTTGTGGTGTAGAAGGGCCAGTGTGGCTGGATTCAGCAAGAGAGCGAGAGAGGATATAAAATCCTAAACAAAGCCAGAAACAGTTTGTTCTCTGGCATTCCCCAGCACTGAGCACAATGTACATAGGGCAGGCACCCAAGAATGAACACGATAGAAGTCTTTACTCGAGGCTGTTGACAGCCGTCCTCTAACTCATAGCTCTCCTCTGTTTACTTAGTCAACGACTAGGATCATCCTCTGCTCATCCGACATACATCTCTCAGCTACTGTCTTTCAGAATTTCAGAACCTCTTTCATGTCGCAGTTGCTCTCAGTATCCTTGAAGCTCGATGTCCTTTTATTAAGAATAGATCTAGGAAAAGACATGAGGAAGGAGACAGATATCTGAAGAAATGATCATATCGTCTCTTTGGCTTTCTCTACTCTTTGATAAACACCTCTAGTTCTCTTAATTTTTCTCCATGTAGTTTTCCAGATTTGGAACCAGCCTGATACCCTCTAGTAATGTCAAGTTTAGAGAAGAAGTATAGCAACGGAGTGCTGTGATGGTATGGTAGTTAAGGCTGTTATCCTTTGGAGCCAGACTACCTGGGTTTGAATCCCAATTTGGCCCATTATTATCTGGATCATCTTGAGTAAATTACCTAAGTAAAGTGACAACCAGAGAGTTTATCTATTAAGTGGAGGTTAGTAATGGCTCATAACCATAGTACAGAAAGCTCTGAATTTAAGATTTTCAGTAACTCACTAGAGGGCAAAATCTGGCTTGAGCTGATCTGAATCTACTTGACAGGAGAGTTTGACATGAGACTTTCATCTCGATTTAAGCTACTTTAAAAAATAGTACATTTTTTTGCTACAGAAATATTATGTGTTTGATTAGGGGATAGCCCCAGACCTTGCTGGGGAGTTATGTAATTTATAAAATATGGTCCATGCTTTTTAAAATCTAAAAAATTCTGAATTCCCAAAACATTGAACCAGATAGAGGAACTGTGACCCATTACTCTCTTTAAAATATGGCAGGTAGAATGAATGCAGGACTTTGGTCGTGGTCAGTGTATCAGGTCAAAGTATTTAAGGTGGTAAAATGTGGCTTGAAAGATATGTTTAGGTGAATTTGCAAGGCCTCCTGGGAGGTACTTTCAGGGGAGTCCCATGGTGTCTGGCTTTGGCCATTCCTAGGCCAACAATTTCATAGATGCTTTCTGGTAAATGAAGACTTTCGACTGTAAGCAGCAGAGCCTACATGAGCTATCTCAAGAGAAAGGATTCTCAAGGAATGCAAGGTCACAAGGCAGCTGGACCTTAAGGATGTTCTAGAATCAGGGATAAAAGCCCCATGAAAACTGAAGTGTTCCCTTACTCTCTTCTTTTTCCTGATTCTCTGTAAGTCCACTTCATCCATCTGTCTGGCTGAAGGGGCAGTTTTCTATACTTTCTAATCCACTTCACAGAAAATGGCCATTGCCAAAAGTTCTTCTGCCATAACTTTGCCCTTTACAAGCACAGTCTGACTGGGCTGAACTTCTGAGTCCAAATTCCCTGAGAGGAGGACAATGGCTGGTTCTCTGGGCTAAGCGAGTGTGGTGATGTGGAGGAATGGAGGCATCTTGTTCAAACATGGCTGCTCCCTCAGTAAGGCATTGATGGGCAATTCCTGCTAAACTGTGTAAAGGTTGGAAAATGGGGATTGGATAGACCTTGCTCCCTGCAAAAAGTATGCATATATATTGTCTTAGTTCAGGTGCTATAAAAAATACCATCGACTGGGTGGCTTAAACAGCAAACATTTATTTCTTACTCTTTGGAGGCTGGAAGACCAAGATTAGGGTGTCAGCATGGTTGGATTCTGGTGAGTGCTCTCTTTTTAGCTTATAAACAGCTACCCTTTCGCTGTATCCTCACATGGTAGAGAGACATTTTGTTGTCTCCTTCTCATAAGGGCATTAATCTCATCATGAAGGTGCCCCACATCATGACCTCATCTAACCCTAATAACTTCCCTCCCAAAGGCTCCATCTTTAAATCCCATCATATCAAATAGCAAGTAAGGGCTTCAACATATGAATTTGGGGGGGACATAAACATTCAGTCCACATATCTATATATTTCTATATATAACATGAGCCCAGAGATGTACAAAGTGACTGGACAGGTAGGTTAGTCTATAAGCAGAGAAGACCCAGATTCGAGAAACCTCGAAGGAAAATTGGCCACACACTCACCTTTACTGCCATGTCTGTCTGCACTGAGCTGAAAATGGTGGTTTTAACAAAAGGCAAGGTGAGAATCTGATCAATTTGGGAGAGTTCTGTCTGGTTATTATCGAGGTAGGAGTTGGGTGTGAGGAGGCCTAAGAAGGAAGATAGGTCAACGGCCCTGAACTCTTTCTCAGTCCCTTAGTGTCCAAGCTGTGCCTGGTTTTCTTTCACAGTCCTGTGCCTGAGACTCTGAACAAAGGACTTCATCTGGCATTCTTTTGAATTTGTGACCTTTCTGGCTCATCAGCTCCTCAGGGCTCTGGGCCACTTTAACTGTGGCTCTGCCTCATCCCTCCTGCTGGGAGACAAAATCAAGAGCAGCCTAGACCCAGGGATACATCAGGAAGAAGAGTCCTTCTCCTTATTCTCCCTCCCTCTGCCTTACTCACCAGGGTTTCACTTAATTGCTGCCCCTTTACATGTGTAACTATCTGGCACTTGGCCTTTTTACAGTGGGACAGAAATCAAGGGTCTGCTTGAGCCCTTTTGTGAAGAAGTTATTTTCCTCTTGTACTTTTTGAGGACTTTTGGAGAGGGGACTAACCCAAATGACTTCTGATTTGGGAGGACAAGCCACTTAAAAACTGTGTTCCCCTGCCTTTCAACTTGTTTGACTGAAATAAGTAGCCCAGTACTCTCTTTTCATATAGATGCAGATGAGAAGAAAGAAGTGCTTCTACTCTTGAGCATTTACCTGGGGATCAGAAAGTTCATTCTGAGTGAAATCCATAAGATCCTGTGCAAATATATGTGGCAATCACTGGTTCTTTTTTACATTCGAGCTAATGTGGAATCCTCTTCAGCCCTACTAGTTCTGTGGTTTGACCATATGGTCAAGGTTACAGAGGAGGGAGGTTGGGAAGGACCAGCAATACAATGTGTCTGCAGACAGCAGGTGCATCTAGTCCTCCCAGCTGTGGCTTCCCTGATGTAGCCCTTGGTCAGTTTCCCTAGAGAGTACAATATCCTCCTCCCCACTCTCTCACCTGCCATGCCAGCAAGATATAACTAACTCCAGCTTAAGGTATCACACTTAAGATTCATGCAACTAGCATGCAATTATTCAAGGGCTGTCTTTGCAGTTTTTGTATAGTTAGGTCTTAGTAGAAAGAGCACTGGCCTGGAAGTCAGGGTGTCCTGGACTTTAGTCATGGTTCTGCCACCGTGAAA